ATAATGCCCCGATCATGGGATTATCTAAATTATTAAAAAAAATAAAATGTGAGAACAAAAAATTGCCTTTAAGAAATAATTAAGTTAATACAACAGCCAGGAAAAAAAGTGTTGTAGACTATTCTACTCCTAAATGCAATATCTTTAAAAAGGAAGACATTATTAAGTATACCAAAACTAATGGACTGTTTCTTTGTGTTAATAATTGTCCGATATTTACGATTTTTTGTTTTGTGTTGTAGGTAATTTAGTAATCTTTCTAGTTATCATGGGTACAATCAAGAAAAAAATGCCTACTTTATGAGCTATAGTCGTAACTACAAATAAAGTTTCTTTTCGTCCATAACTTTTTTTCCAGAAATTTCGGATGATGGAACTTTTTTTTCCATGTGGAGGAGAAGAATATCTTCAAAATGAGTGGCCAATCATTGGATTTGATGAAGAATTGACGAAGTTATGGTGTACCGACAAAAAAAACACCTATTAGAAATAATATATAGGATAACATAACCTTAAAAAATTAAGAACTTTGAAGACTTTTCTCATTTATGAAATCTGAAAAACGTACCCGATTTCTTTGACAAACTGAAGCATTGTAAATGGACATGTAAACCATCAGTGGATGTGCAAAAAAAAAACATATAGGTATCTTTAAAATCACTCTATAAAATTCAATTCATTGTAACTTTGCTAAAACTGGTCCGATTTAGATTTTTCTTTTTTTATTTTTGCCAGAAATTTAATGATCTTTAAATGTGACAAAAACGTGACCCAATTACAACATCCTTCTTACCTAGTAAAGATTAAAATTAAGTAAAACTTGTATAGAAAATAGAAGACGCTGCATCATTGCTAATACATGTTCGATTTCAATTAATTTTTTTTTATATAGTGAATTTAAATACCTTTTAAAATATTATATATAAATTTTACCATGGAATATATACTTTGTGAGTTAAGCTCGAAAACACTTTTCTTTATAAATTTTTTTCTTGTATTTTCTCAGTAAATCACAACATACACGGAAATTGAAGAGACTTTAAGTAGAATATTATTGGAAAGTTTCATCAAAAGCGTTAGAAACGTTTTTGAAAAAGATGCAGTCGCTATTGTGCAGAGAGCGCCCAATTGTTTCACAGGCATATATAATCAAAACTCTACAAAACAAAAAAAAAAAAAAAAAAAAAAGGAACCAACAAAATCGGTTAATTCGTTCTGGAGATAATTTGGTTACAGGCAGACAGGTGGTTGAAAAAGTATTTTTCGGACTCAGAGAGCTCTGAAACGTAAAGATTCGTTGAGAACGGCAAATCGAAAATGATTACCTAGACTTGAGCCAATATGTAAAGTTCTAATATAATTTCACTAAAAAACAACAATAATATTAAGTTGTCTAGTCACATCATTCAGGTTTGGTGCCTTTTTCTCATAAGTTTTTTATATATATTTTAGGCCAATATCTCCTGTATCTTGTATGTGAGGCAATAATTTTCTTGATACCGTCTACGAAAGATAAGTGAAAAAACGACATTCTATGAAATAAAAGAATGACTAAAAGACGAATCATATTGTAATGATAGATTTTAGAAATTTTATGAAGCGGTGGTGCATGGATCTTGAAAATGGCTCCTGAAGCCGAAACGCTGAATAAAGAATACAGGATATAAAAATTGTGTACATTTGGTAACCTTTGGCCTAAAATATATATAAAAAAATAATATTAGGCATACAATAACTTGTACGACTTTCCGTGGTTGGGCTCTATATAAGTTGCTCGTGTACTCGTTTAGAGAAGAAATTTAAATAATAAAATAGAGTAAACGCACCAGTTATGGACATATCGGACTTTAAATGTAAATAATAAGCTTTCTTGTTGATTTAAAGGTTCCAGTTTTTTCTAGATTGAACAACAATGCCCTCTATTTACAACTGTATGAACATAGTTCCAAAATGCCTATGATTGTGGTTTAAATAGTGGTCTAGAGATCAGTGTGTTTCATTCCTTCCTACTAACAGTAAGGTGAACATTTATGTTTCGTTATCTTTATAGTTGAATAAAGATTTTAGAATTTTTCTGAAGTATGTCCATTATTGGTACCGATTCTCTGTTCATTACTAGAACAATTGAATTTTGTGGTGTCTATCACTAGTGCAAAAAATTGTTTTGTTTTTTAAATGGAGATTATACCTGCATGACTGAATTTTGTTTCCATTTTTTAAGTTTTAAATAGAAAAAGGAGACCCGAGAGATTTTAAATGTCAAACGGAATAGTTTATAGCCCGTGATACAGACACATTTTTATCAAATTATTAACAGCCGACTGAAACTTAAATACACCACCGTTTGTCCTATATAACCTCGTTATTTTGAAAATTTGGTTGTGTAGGTCACTCCAAACGGCTCAATATTTTTTAAGGCCATCTTTTTTTCTCTAATTTGTGATCAAGTTATCTTACGATTAAAGTGGAAAGCAAATGAGTATTTACGAGCTTTTAGTACCAAATTAAGTAGAAAAACTTTGCCGACCTCCAAATTGAAAACTCCACAATTCCCAGAATTTTTGTAAATAAAATATTTCTAGATTACGATGAGATGAAGCTATTTACGAAGTTTCAGCCGGATTTTAATAATTTGATAAAAAGGGGTCTGTACCATGAACTATTATATATATATTTGTTTATCTATTTTTTTTCTTTCTCTCTTTTATTATCAACTGATCAAAATTGGAAAGCAACTTATATGTATATGTGTATATTTATATATATATATATATATTATTTTTTTTAACCAAGACTGTACAATTACTCTGTATTTTTATTTATATATCTCTGAGGCTCCTTAGCCCTCATTTCTGTCTTCCTGTATTATTCTAAAGGGACTCGTCCCAGAATAAATAAAGTATTATTATTATTATTATTATAACTATAATAATTACGGAGGTATAAGCCCAAAAACATTAAAATTCCCTTAACTATGTCCATCACTGGTGAGCTTAATCCAGTTGTTAAAAAAAATCTAAACTTTATTCATAGAAATATAAGTTTGCATAAGTAAGCAAAAACTTTAAACAAGATTTGATATCCGTACAAACGTCAACACTGTTGGACCCGCGGGAGTTCCCTCACACCACTAGCGGATCCCGGATTTTATTTTGGGAGGGGGCTTCACCCCGAAAGATTTTTTTTTCACATACATATAACGATAATTAATTTGAAAAAAAAGAAACTAACTACCTATATTAATTGGTGTTTAAGTGGTTCTTGAAGTCCTATTAAATGTTTAGTTTTACACGAAGAAGAATACTGTAAGTGATAGTTTTTCATTTTTTTCTGTAAAACATGGTTATATTTTACCATTTTGGGGGTCTTCAGCCCGAAAGCCCCCTCCCCCCCGTAGATCCGCCTGTGCCTCACACCTCGGAGAACGCGTGGACGCGTGTCGAAACAGCCCGTGTGTATTCTTGCAGCTCTGGGAGGATCTCGGCCTCCTAACCCTAAAGCTCCATTGTTCTCTCTAAGTTCCTTTATCTTGTTTTCTCGCTTTCTCTCTGTCAATCGGCTGAGACCAACGTTGCTCGCGTCAGTCGTTAACTCTAAAGTTCAATGTTCTGGTAATGGCAGCTCGTTCGGCTTTGAGGGAAACGGAGGTAGGGCAATCTTTCTTAACTAGAAAATGTAAAACATTTTTGTCGTTAAAAAAAAACAACAGAAATTTTATCAATATAAAACAAAATAACAACAAAGAGGTTAGAGGTTATCGCTAAAACCTTGAGGTTCTTAAGACAACTTCTTAAGACTTGGTGAAAAGCTTTCGAAATTAAAAAAATATGGTGCGCGCAACACACAACTTTCACTTACCGCTCTACTTTGAATAGAAATTAATTTCTGGCAATGCTGGGCTATTATAAAATTTGTTGAAGTGCATTTTAAACGGAGCTAAAGCTTAAAGCTTACAGATAACAAGTCATTAAGGCCATTATAATAACAAAATGTCTATTTAATATATCGACGGTAGGAAATAAAAATCTAGTCTCTCCATCTTTTATAAACCACAGAATGACTAACTCCAATTTCAACATTTGTGAGTAATGTCATTTTAGTGATATTTTTAGTTGAAAACGTTATCTATACAGACAGTGAATAAGTTGATTCCGGAGGTGGTGATTGCAGTGTTGAAATATAGAACTGAGAATAAAGGTATAAATTTAGGTACTTATTTCTTACGAAAGATGTTCTGAGGAAAGACACTTTATTAAATATCTGTAGAAAAAAGTTTTTTTTAGTCTCAACAATTAAAAAGTATATTTTTAAATTTATCCAAATTTTCGCCTCTTCAGGGAAAAAACTAGAGACCATATCTTTCCTCCTAATTGTCCGATTTTAACGAATTTTTGTTTTGTTTTTTAGGAAATTCTATAAACATTTAAAAAACTATGTACAATATCCACAAAAAAGTGTATACTTTTTAAGTTTAAATTTTACCATCGCTCGTAACTTTTTTTCCAGCTTCTTTTCGTTGAAGTATGTTAAAATAAATTGAAATCGGTACATTCGTTTAGGTGCTACAGTCCATAGCAACGCAGGTTTTACTGCATTTTTTTCTCCTTTATTAACTTATCAAATTCTTTCAAAAGCTGTATTTAGCATTTTTTTTCGTAACTCTTAATAATGCGAAATGATTAACTTTTTAAAATAAACCATATTAAAGGTACTATATATTACATATATATGTAAGTGAGAATAAAAAGTGAATTGTTCTTTTTTTTTTTTTTAAATAATGACCAGTTCGGGTGTTAATCAGTTAGTTAGATGCACTTAGTTTTGTTTATTGCGCATGCGTATGAAATAGACAGGTATAAAAAGAATTACGTGGCACAGCTGATGGTAGCGGTGTAAGATATGTATTACATAGAACCAAAGAGGATCTCGGTTTTACTCCATTATTTCATTACTATCTAGTTTCCTTTCTCACTGTTTCATCTCAGTTCGTAGAGAGTTGGCTAATTTATACCAGACGTGCTCGGCCAAGCAGAGCGATCTAAATTCTTTTCGATATGCAACAGCCTCAGCAAGGAGCTTTTTTTTATCATGTTAATTGTAACACCACTAATTAAGATAATCATTTCATGGTTAATGCTTATAATTTCACTACTCCATTCCATCTTATTTTCTTCTTCGAATTCACTACCATCTGCCGCAGTTCTTGGGTTTCTCCCAGGTGTTCCTGAAGGAGTTCTTGTTATTCTGCTTTGGTGGGCCCATCGACATGGAACGCCATAGTCGTTTAACCTAGTCATTGTTGCTGGCTTCAACAATGGCGCTGGTAATACTTGCATAATCATCCTCCAGGCAGTTTGTTATGTGAACAAAAATATATCGTTACTTGGTAGTATACAGTGGATTAAAAAGTATCAACAGGATGAAGATATTTTCCAGAAATGATATTTATATAACAAACTGGTCTTTGAGATTAATATTTTAGAAGCAATGAATGTTCGGATTTTAAAAACTATGTTTAAAGAAAACATAAAGAGTTAATTTTGAGGGGACAAAAGAGTATTGGCACAGTTTTGAATGTTTACTATTACCTACAGTCAAAACAAATTATATAAAGATAGTACAATGAAAATAATAACAATCAGTCTTTGCTGTACATTTTCCATAACAATGAAGGGTAAAACCAGTGAATATTGTGTCAGTTTAAAAAAAAAACACATCGTGAAATTGCATTCTAACGGACATAGGTACTAACAAATAGCAAATAAATTAGAAATGGGTTTTAGCAGTGTTCAAAATATTGTACAAAAGTTTAGAAAGTTTTAAACATGCCCTGTTCAGAGGGCCAACAAAATTTAATATCATACCACGTAATATTTAATATAATTTATAAATATTATTATTATGACAGCTTCCAAAGAAAAAACCTTTTATTACAGAGGTGACCCGCAAGAAAAGATTTGGACTAGCTAAAAGTTAATTTAATAATGATCTAGAATTCTAGAAAAATATTATATTTTCAGATGAAAGTAAGTTAATATAACGTATTAAGGGGGAAAATCTGGCGGTTGAGCGTGATCTCGATCAAATCACCTGCTTGAACAACCTTAGACCAAGAAACAGTGCTATACCTAAATAATATTGAACCCAAGACCCTTCATGGGTTGTAGTGGTACAGGTTTTTTTTTTTTTTTTTTTTTTTATGAATACCGAACAATATTGCGACATAATTTAACAACCAGAGGCGAAAATCTATGGATTACAGATGCATATATTTTCTGACAGGACAATGAGGCCAAGCACACGAAAATAAAACAGAAGAATGTATGCTGTACAATGTCATAAATACCATAAAAATTATTTATAAGAAACTCAGTCTAAGATACTACGACTAATTACCCAAGCACCCTGGTACGTGAATAACAACACTCTACACACTGACTTACACATGCCAACGATCATTGAACACATACGAACTTACTACAAACGATTTCATAATAAATTACATGGACACACCAACCAGCTAATTAAAGAAATGGCCACTAGTATTATGTCGGAGAACTCCAGAAGACGACTGAAAAGGGTCTGGATGAGAGATCTACTTACGTAATTACATAAAAGCCATGGAAGGGATGCCTTCTGGATATTGCTTTATCCAAGCTTTTTTTTCTTTTCATTTTTTTTATTTTATTTTTTTAAATTTCCTCATGATAATGCCAGCCCATCTGCTGATTGTCGATGGTTGTAATCGACAGGTGCGGATTAATAAATGAAAATGAAAAAAAAAATGAAACTTTGCCAGAAGAATGGCGCAAAATTGGACAATACGTAACTCAAAATTTAGTTTAGTGGATACCAAGAAGATTCCGTAATGTTATAAATGCCAATGGTATGATGACAAAAAAATAATAAATTTCCAGTTTGTGAAATAAACAACAAATTAAAGTGTGCCAATACTTTTTGTCCGTGTTGAAGTGAGTTTTCGTTTACTGAACTTAATTTAATTTTTTTTAACCCTAAGTATGTATTTTTCTAAACCTTTTATTAAAAAAAAAATGTTTATCAAATCAATTTCGGATTATTTTACAATGAAACCTGAAAAAAATTAAGTGTTCCAATACTTCTTTGATCTACTGTAAATCGATTATTTTTAGTTAACCAAGAAACAGGGTGCACAGACATTGCTTTTCTTAATAAACAAACATGGCGGACCTTGGAAATCGTATTTCCTCTAACCTATTACAATTCTAAAAAGAAATGAAAAGAAGAATACCATTTGTCAATGGACATTTTAGATAAAGAGTACTTAAATAAACTATATCAGCATCCATTAAATTCAACGTCTCCCAAGCAACAAAAATAATCAACAAAAAAGTATCATAGCGATGCTAGGCTAGCGTTTAACTAAACTTCCATCGATTTCCCTTGAATATCCGACATGAAATGGAAGGGATACTCACAAGAAACAAAAACACACGCTCATAGAAAACAAAATCAATTTATACATTTTTGTTTTGTTTCAAAAAGTACCATAGGAAATAATTTTGCTTTCTCATTACCTAAGTTAAAAAAGCTTTGTATTCATGAGAGAGATGAAAAAACATTTTGAATTAAGAATTGAAAATGTCTACTTGCGTTTTACATTTTGGACACCAAGGAACTAATTTGGCTTCGTGTCTGTCTTAAGTCAAAGAGATGTTTATAATACGGTAATTCGATTTAGATATAATTTCATGGATTGTGAGAGCATGTTTTCAACCTACGTCTATTCAAAAATGGTTCGTTCAATTTGGCTCCAAATTATAAATAATATAATAGCTGTAAAATCTAGCAGGCATTAAGCGTTGTGAATGAAAGGTTATGTAAGTTTATAAACTTAATGCGATTTAAATATAAATGTTGTCTTTTTATTCGATTATTCAAATTAGTTTAAAAACAAAATGATCTCAGTGAAATGTGTGCGTATTTTCTTATGTGCCCAATATAAAATGGTGAGGAAGCTATATTAATTTACTTGATTTTAAATATTAAATGTACACCAATACACTTTGCTTAGATATTCTCATAAATAATGAGACAGAAGTTCATCTGATCGAGTGCATACCACACAAGAAAAAAAAGTTCAAAATAAAAAACTAACTTGAAATAAAGAAAGGGTGTTTAGTTTGATTGTTTTATATTAACAAAGTTTTTATCAACATAGTAAGTTATAAAATATTCAAAGAAAACAAACATTAATTTTGTGAAAAATATATTTTTGTTCTTTTTCCATGTAATATAATTATAAAATAATTTCCTTTAAAAAAACCTAAATTTTATTTCTTGTGCTTTAATTTTTGGTATTATCAGCTAACAATTAATGTATTTGATGTGTACCATTTAACTGACTGTAAGAAGATTCTAAAATGTATAATATTGCATTAATATATCAAGATACGATTTTACCTTATTGTTAACAACATATTATGTAATACGTTTAAATTTCCTCTTATAAGTGTTTCTCAGACTTACCTGAAAAAGAAAAAAAAAATATTAATGAATGAATCATTTAAAAAACTTAAAGCAATTAAAAAGCTTATTATTTTAGTATAATGATTCGAAAAAGCTCCATTTCGAATAAAATATAAGATGAATAAACATAACAAATAATTATATTTTGTAGTACATAGCTAAGAGACTTTTATGATTAAATAATAATGAATAATTTTATTATTATTATTACATTACTGTAATTATTGTTTAAAAAATAGCTAACATTTTAAAATATTTATACTTTTCCAAGGTAATTGCAACCATAATAAAGAATCGTTTAGTTTAAAATATTTTGTAAATTTGTAAGGCATTAATAGTTGTTCAATTCATAGAGAGTTAAGAAATTAATAACGATGGTTTTAGTGTTTTAAATAAATACAGTAACATTTAATAAATTACATTACTATAAAATAACCTTTTCATATTAGAATATTAAGAATTCTCCATTACAAAAAATACAATTCTCCATTACAACAAATACAAGGATTGAAGGAATTCATTAACAGCATAAAATTACAACATGACATTCCAGCATAGAACTCTTATTTAATATACGTTTAAAGGTTAACAATTAAAAAAAAGAAAACAGAAAAATAGAAAAAACAAAAAAAGAAATTTTAGACTTATGTATTTTATTCCTTATTTTGTAGATACTCAATTGTAGATTTGTAAATATTTGTTTATTCTCCGCATAATTTTTGTATTTGTTTTTGACTAACCATATATTTTTTGTTCATTTATTTATTTATTATATTTTCTCTTTTTTTAGTATATTTTGGTACTGTTCATTCATCTGATACTGTTATTTACTTTATTTAATCGTTTATTGTTATTTATTTTATTTAAACATCTATAATATTCTCTTTGTAATACATATTAAGTACCATTCTTTTTAAATATCTTTAGCCAACACATATTGTAATAATTTATAGTTATATACTAAATAACAATGTAATGCATATAATATGCTTTTGCATGGTGTATGCATACTTCTAAGAAATATACGCACGCCTGTTCTGTAGGGTTACTACAGCAGAGAAAAAAAAAAGAAAAAAAAAAAAAAAAATATATATATATATATATATATATATATATATATACTCTAATAAGTTTTCCTTTACAATCATAAAGCAAAAATATTGGAGAATTGTGACTATCATGAATTTTTTCTTTTTCTTTTGTTTTATTTTCTTGATATTCTAATATGAAAAGGTTATTCTGTAGTAATGTAATTTATTAAATGTTACTGTATTACATACATATGAATCATACAATAATGAATTATGAATTAATTTCTTCGAAACTAAAAAGCATTGCATATTTTCCAAGTCAGTCACACCTTATCCTTGGAATGTGTTCATTGTTACGTAACATTTTACGTGAGGAGTGTTTTCAATGGGAATTACTAATCCACTGCCAGCTATATTTATGAGTAAGATTATTTATAATGTTATCAATATTTTAAATAAATACAGAAGGCACAGCCAACAATACAGAAGTAGAAGGCATTGCAACAGGCCTGGTATCAAGATTCTAGGTCAACACTCTCATTTTTCCAGTTCCAAACAACGGTCGACAAAACTATTCCACGTGGTATCCGTCGGTAGAGTATAGTTATATTATATAACAATTATATTACATTATAACAATTATATTATATTGCAAAGTATAGTTATACTGGCTGATCTAGAATATATTTACAACGGAATTATCGGATCCTCGTGTTTTAAATCCCAAAAATGTCACGTTTTCGAGATAAATTGTAATTATTGCCGAATGCCTTTTAAGTGCAGTGGTTGCCATGGGATACGTATCACGTGTTGGGGTTTTAAAAATTAAAATATCTGGTGTGTCCACTCACACGACTTTCCTACCTATTTCAGCAAAGTTTTTATATCTTTACATATGTTCATGAAGAAACAAAAAAAAAATTAATTAGATTTATTTTCCTGAAAATTGATCAAACATAAGATTTGAGTACGATTTATTTGATAAACTAAAGCAATGTAAACCGGCTTAAGGTAGATCAGTGTAAAATTTTAATACTCTCTAATATTGCTGATGAAAAACTTTTTGCCATAGCCTAATTTTGTCAAACAATAATTTCTGTTAAAAATAGAGGAAATAGTGAAGCTTGTGTGATGATGGCAACAGATTTTCTTACTATCACTTAGTCATATTTATTCTCTCACTCACCCCTTTCCGATACCAGGATATGAACCCGTAATCTTACATTGG